TATGCAAATTTGTTTTCATGTCCCTGGACGATGTGGTGGCCTCGAGGACTCGGGGCGTTGCCAGGGATCTGGCTTTGAAGCGGGGTCCGATTTCCCAGAGGGACCCCTTGACCCTCGAGCAGGTGCGCGCCCTCGAGGCAATGATGGTGCGAGACGACAGGCCGACCTGGCAAAAGTGTTTTGTGGGCGTGGTGCTTTTCTGCACTCACGCCTCTGTGAGATGGGGAGACGCTCAGAGGGTCACCAGTCTGGAGTTGATGGGTAGTGGAGCAGCGGCGATTTTGATGGGCCTGGCGCTGGGCTCAAAAACGTCGCTGAGAGTGGAAGCAAAACGAAAGTTCCTGCCGTACGCTTGCGTCGCCTCTGGCGTTTCAGGTGAATTCTGGGCTGCAGCATGGCTTGATGCGAGAAGCTCTGAGGATCTGGGATTTGAGGCCGGCCTCATTCCCAGCTGGAGCCAACGTGAGGGTGCATGGGCCTCCCACGCCATGCCCTCAGAGGAAGCCTGTGATTACCTGGTTGAAATGCTTCTGGACCTGGGTGTGTCTACCCCGGGGAGATCTGTTGGAACTCACTCGTGCAAGGCGACTGTGTTGTCTTGGGCACACTGGTCGCCGAAGGTTAGATTTACTCAGGCGGAGCACCGGTTACTGGGACACCACATAAAGCGTGGATCCTCAAATTTGATTTACAGCCGCCAACTTTACATTGAGCTGGCTGGAAAGTGCCTTGCCATGTACCGAAGCATTCGCTGTGGAGATTTTGACCCGGACCAGACGACCGAGTCGCGAGTGGCAGCGATCGCTGCTGCTTATGATGAGCCAGGAACTTTGGTTCCTGATCCGTCCTTGCCAGCGGCGGATGGGGAGGGCGAGTCTCCAAGCGAGGCTTCTGTTTCGGCTGAGTCGGGGGCTGAACCTGTGGTTAGGGAGATTCCCCCTGGAGACCGGGTGCGGCTTCCCTTTGAAGACTGTGACCTCGAGGAGCTAAGGGTGCATACGCTGTCAGGCATAGTGCACCGGCTGAAGTCTCAGACGCATTTTGCGTGTGGGAGACTCATGACTGATCGTTACCGTAGATTCGGCCGAGATGATCAGGATGATCCTGATACTTGCTTCCAGTGCAAGGGGGCCAAGAGCTGACCTCGAGGGCGGCCGATCTGTTTGATGTGAGTGTAAAAAGACTGCAAGTGATTCCTCCGAGATTGTCGTTGCATGGGCGTGTCGAGCTTCTTGCTCCGGACACTTGGGAATCTTTGATTCAACCCGTGCGCAATCTGAGGATCAGCAGTTAGGAAGTGCATGCGTCATGTGAGTGTATAACTC